ATCTGGAAAAGAATAGTAAGAATGGCTGTACACTTGAAGAACATAATCAACATCACTGAATTGTATATGTAGAAATTGTTAAAATGATCTATCTTTTGCTGAGTATATTTTCACAAAAAAATAAATTAAAAAAAAAAAAAAAAAAAAAAAAAAAAAAAATACAAGAAAAAAATTAGACCAAAGATGCTAGGCTGGATTATCAGAGATTTAAGGCCTTAGGGTCTTAATTATGATAGAAAATAAAGTTATTAAAATTTGTTGGAAATGTCTAACGTTATTGTTGTTGTTAGGTACCGTTCAGTCAATTCTAACTCGCTGACATTCTGTACAACAGAATAGAAACAGTGCCGGGTCCTGTGCAATCTTCAAAATCTTTGCTATGCTTGAGCCTGTCATTGCAGCCACTGTGTCAATCCATTTAATTGAGCTTCTCCTTTTTCTCCAATCCTGCACTTTACCAAGCATGATATCTCTGTCTAAGGACTGGTTGCTTTTAATAACATGACCAAAGTAGGTGAGACAAAGTCTGGCCATTGTCTTATCAAAGGAGCATTAGGGATGCACTTCTTCCTGGACAGTTATGTTTGTTCTTCTGGCAGGGTAGTTCATGTTATTTTTGGTATTCTTCACCAACATCACAATGCAAAGGTATCCACTCTTCTTCATTCAGTCTTTCCTTCAGTCAAGCTATTACAAGCATATAAGGCAACTGAAAATACCATGGCTCGGGTTAGGCTCACTTAAGTCTTCAGACTGACATTTTTGCTGCTTAACACTTTAAAGCGGTCTTTTGCAACAGATTTGCTCAGTGCAACACATCCTTTGATTTCTTGCCCACTGCTTCCATGGGTTTTCATTGTGGATACAAGTAAAATAAAATCCCTGACAGTGTAAATCTTTTCTCCATCTATTGTGATATTGCTTACTGGTCCTGCTGTGAGGATTTTTGTTTTCTTTATGTTGAGATATAATACATATTGAAGACCTTTACCTTTGACCTTTACCAGCAAGTGCTTCACTCTTCTTTACTTTCAGTGAGCAAGGTTGTGTCATCTGCATATCTCAGGTTGTTAATGAATCTTCCTCTAATCCTTATGCCATGTTCTTCTTCATACAGTCCAGGTTCTTGGATTATTTGCTCAGCATACAGATTGAAAAAGTATGGTGAAAGGATACAGTCCTGATCCACACCCTTCCTGATTTTAAACCATGCAGTATTCCCCTTATGAGCTGTCAAAGGGGCAAGGAGGTCACATCTTCTGACCTCCTCTAACCCCACAAGAGGAAGAAAGAAGCACCATCAGTAGCCTAAGGCCTATTCCTGTGAGGCCAGACATGCTGCCTCCCTCCAGCCCTTTCACCAATCCTGACACCAACACCTCCTGCAGCACCTACCACCTCTCTGCTGGGTTCGATAATTCACTGCAGTGGCCACACAGAACTCACATATTATGGGGTTTATTAGGGAAGCAACAGGCTACAGTTGAAGTTCAGGAACACGCTCAGTCCCTCTTAGCCTGCCGTCTCTCAGCTGACAGTCTCTTTCCCAGCAGTGTGTGTCTCTCTCCCAGCAGTGCATGTCTCTTGGTGTCTCTCTCAGCAGCATGTGTCTCTCGCATCTCTCTCACATTGCAGTGAGAGATTCCTTCTGCATCTAGGAGGGCTCCTTTTGAGCCTGGCAGAGTGGCCAAACTAACCAATCCCAACATCAGAATTCTATACAACTGAGAGAGCGCAAACCTCCCAGAAGAATGCTTTGTGCTAGTCTCAACAGAAATCCTCCATGCGGATAACTTTAACTGTCAGGAGCTACTCAGTTGCTCATGGCAAATTCCAGCAAGGAGTTTACAAAGACTGTGGCTAGAAAAGCCCTACTACGTAATCTACTGTACTGCATGAGCACAATTAAGTGTTTGGGAATTCCCACTCTTCTCAATGTTATCCTTAATTTGTTATGATCCACACAGCTGAATGCCTTTGTACAGTCAATGAAACAGGTAAACATCTTTCTGGTATTGTTTTCAGACATCAGCAATGATATACCTCATTCCATGTCCTCTTCTAAAGCCAGCCTGCATTTCTGGAAATTCCCTGTCAATATAGTGCTGCAAATGTTTTTGAATTATCTTCAGCAAAATTTTACTTGTGTGTGATATTAATGATAATGTTCGATAACTCCCATATTGTTAGATCACCTTTCTTTGGAGTGGGCACAAATATGGATCTCTTCCAGTCAGCTGGCCAGGTAACTGCCTTCCAAATCTACTGGCATACACAAGTAAGTGCCTCCAGTGCAGCATCTGTTTGTTGAAATATCTCAATGAGTATTCCATCAATTCCTGGAGCCTTGTTTTTTGCCAGTTCCTTCAGTGGAGCGTAGACTTCCATCGGTTTTTCATCATAGGCTACCTCCTGAAATGGCTGAATGTCAACCAATTGCTCTTGTTGGTACAGTGACTCTTCTTTTGATGCTTCCTGAATCATTCAATATTTTGCCCACAGAATCCTTCAATATTGCAATCTGAGGCTTTTTTCTTCAACTCTTTAGCTTGAGAAACGCGGAGTGTGTTCTTCCTTTTTGTTTTTCTAATTCCAGGTCTTTGCACATTTCAGTGTAATACTTTACTTTGTCTTCTCAATCCACCCTTTGAAATCTTATGTTCTGCTTTTTTATTTCAACATTTCTTCCATTTGCTTTAGCTACTCTCTGCTCAAAAGCAAGTTTCAGAGTCTCTTCTGACAATCATTTTGGTTTTTCTTGTCCTCTCCTTTGTTTCTAATGACCTTTTGCTTTCTTCCTGCATGATATTCTTGATGTCATCCTACAACTCGTCTGATCTTCAGCCACCGGTAATCAATGTGTCAAACCTTTTCTTCAGATGGTCTCTAAATTTAGGTGGGATATATTCAAGATCATGTATTTTTGGTCTCATGGATTTATTTCAATTTTCTTCAGTTTCAACTTGAAATTGCACATGAACAACTGATAGTCTATTCCACTGTCAGCCCCTTGCCTTGTTTTGACTTTTGAAATCACGCTTTTCTATTGCCTCTTTCCACAGATGTAATCTATCTGATTCCTGTTATTTCATCTGGTGAGGTGCATATGTATAGACACTGTTCATGTTGTTGAAAAAAAGGTATATGCAATGAATAAGTCATTGGTTTTGCAAAATTCAACCATGCCATCTCTGGCACCATTTCTATCACCAAGGCCACGTTTTCTAACTACTGATGCTGCTTCTTTGTTTCCAACTTTCATATTCCAATCACCAGTAATTGTCAATAACATCTTGATTGTATGTTTGGTTAATTTCAGACTGCAGAAGTTGGTAAAAATCTCCAATTTTTTTCATCTTTTGGTTTGGTGGTTGGTGCGTAAACTCAAATAATGGTCTTTCTTGTATATACCTGATATTATCCTATCACTAACAGAATTGAACTTCAGAACAGACCTTGAAATGTTCTTTTTGATGATAAATGTGACATCATTTCTCTTCAATTTGTCACTCTTGGCATAGACCATATGATTGTTCTTTTTGATGATAAATGTAACATCATTTCTCTTCAATTTGTCACTCTTGGCATAGACCATATGATTGTCTGACTCAAAATGTCCAATACCAGAAGGTTGGTGGTTGAAACCCACCAGCCACTCCTTGGATGGACGGTTGGGCAATCTACTTCCATGGTGATACCGCCTCGGAAACCCAAGGATGGGTCGCTATGAGTCAGATTCAACTCGACAGCAGTGAGTTTGTTTTTTTTTTCAGTCTTTTATTAAAGAGCTCTGGTGGCATAGTGCCTCAGGCTTTTGACTGCTAACTATCAGGTTGGTGGTTCAAATCTACCACCCACTCTGTGGAAAGAAGACTGGGTAATCTACTTCCATAAAGATTTACTGCCTTGGATGTTCTTTTTGATGATAAATGTGACATCATTTCTCTTCAATTTGTCACTCTTGGCATAGACCATATGATTGTCTGACTCAAAATGTCCAATACCAGAAGGCTGGTGGTTGAAACCCACCAGCCACTCCTTGGATGGACGGTTGGGCAATCTACTTCCATGGTGATACCGCCTCGGAAACCCAAGGATGGGTCGCTATGAGTCAGATTCAACTCGACAGCAGTGAGTTTGTTTTTTTTTTCAGTCTTTTATTAAAGAGCTCTGGTGGCATAGTGCCTCAGGCTTTTGACTGCTAACTATCAGGTTGGTGGTTCAAATCTACCACCCACTCTGTGGAAAGAAGACTGGGTAATCTATTTCCATAAAGATTTACTGCCTTGGAAACAAACCCAAAGGGGGTCACTATGAGTTGGAATCGACTCAATGGCAGGTTCGCTTTTTTTTTTTTAGTCTTTTATTATTTGTAAAATTCTCTCTAAATTGAATTTGCTTAAAGTTTAGAAGGCTAATGGCCTAATAACGATCTAGAAAATGAAAAATTTCTCTACCAATTTATCTATTCCAGAATATATCTGTCTAGTATTGTTCTTCACCAAAGGGGTTTACAGTGCTTTCAAGTCTTAGAATTCCATTCACTTTCATTATATGAGGGAGCTCTGGTAGTGTAGTGACTAAGGCACTTGACTGCTACCAGAAGGCTGGTGGTTCAAACCCAACAGCTACTCCTCGGAAGGAAGATGGGGCAATCTACTTCCGTAGTGATACTGCCTCGGAAACCCAAGGAGGGGTCGCTATGAGTCGTGTCCGACTTGACGGCACACAACAACAACAACATCATTATATGAAAAGAAAGTTTTTTAGAAAATACAGATATTTGTTTGTTCTTTCTCTTGAAGGCTTGGGAGGGTGTGTACTTGCTATCTCTGGTTGAGTTAAGCTTTTCATTCAGTAAAAGAAACTGTGATTTATATAACTTAGCAGGATGGATCATACATTTTATTTTAAATTATCTTTAGTTAATCTGGCATATTAAAGTTGGCCTGCTCATGACAAGAAAATACCAGAGACTGGGATTAGAGATGTTTACATACCCTTTATCAGTGCTGAGTTGTTATTTATAGTTGCTTGATTCACTAGAATCATTGCTTGGATGTATTCTGTTAAGGAAAGAAAAGAATAACAACCTTTATTTATGGTGCCAGCCACTGTGTTAAGCATTTAATCTTCACAACTCCCCTGTGATTCTTCCATTATCTATATTAGAGACAAAGAAACTGAGGCTCAGACGTTGAGTTACTTATTTTAGGTCATACAGCTAGGGAGTGGTAGAACTGGATTCAAAACTAGATTTACTGGCTCATGAAAGACTGAGAAAGAATATTAAAACGTAAAAATATTACTATTTTTTTTGCCCAACATGGTAAATTAATATCTTAAGTGCGAAGGAGGTTTGGTGACATAGTGGTTAAAGCATTTGGCTGCTAATCGAAAGGTCAGTGGTTCAAAACCACAAGCTACTCCACAGGTGAAAGATAAAGCAGTCTGCTTCCATAAAGATTTATAGCCTTTAAGACTCTATGGGCCTTATAGATATCTACAGAGGACTTCACCCAACAGCAATACAATATACATTCTTCTCCAGTGCACATGGAACTTTTTCCATGATAGATTGTATGTTAGGCCATAAAGCAAGCCTTAACAAATTTAAAAACATTGAAATACTGCAAAGCATCTTCTCAGATCATAATGCT